AAATCACAATTTTTTTTATAACTCAGTCATTTCTCGACGGATCCTTCTCATCTTCGAACTCGACCGAGATATTGTAAAGACTGAACTGTGCAAAAAATTGCATCGCGATCTGACTCTCCTTTCGAAAGTTATCGTGTATACGGACGGCCGGACGGACACACAGACCGATTTTAGTAGTGTACTCACTTTTTGAGTACACAAAAAACAGCTATACATGGTTAGGGACATTTTCATATGAGAGATCATTTCTCAAAGATATTTTTCTCAAGGACATTTTTGTAAGGACTCTTTAAGACTCCATTTCAACCATCCTGGATAATAAATAAAACACAAGAATGAAGGAAGTAATAAAATAAGGAGCATCCATGTCGTTACGTGAAACATAGCTGTAAGGGAGTATATTTATTCTTAGATTCTAGTTTACTCTTCATCTTTTTTTTTAATACGTTCTTGAATGTAACTATTGAGAGTGTTTATATTTTGACGTAGACGGAAAATATAATATTTAATCCTAAGCAACAATATAAATACAAAGAATTTCATTTTTGCCATTGCTATCATTGTACCGAGTATTGACGCAGCTCGTATCGATATTAAGAGAGGAAATAGACAGATAAAGCATTCGAAAAATGTAAGGCCCATCTCCTCTGTCATGAATGTCGATTTTCGTCAAGGATTCGATTTCGAGATTTTGACATGGTTCGATAGTCCTCAGTGTCTACTTTCGAAAACGATACAATTTACTGAATTTATTATGCTTTTCATGGTTGTGTAGGGATTTTATTAAAGGTGCCCGAGTCCGAAAAAGTGAGTTGTTTGAAACTTTTAGTTATTGATGCCTTCTGGAATTTTTTTATAGGTTTCCACCAGCAGTGAATCTAGATAAGCTATGTCCAATAATAGACGCTATAAGCCTTCAAACGATTGAACACGTGCTCTCTATTCTTCTGAGTATCTGAGTTTATGCGATCATTTTGACAGAGATATGCACATGAGGCTTCTTTTAAGCGAGCATTTTCCCTAATGTACACATTATAAATGACAAAGTATGACTAAGTACTCTTCTATTAATAAATACTTGAAAAGTCAGACTGCATATTGTGTTGTTCAATCTACGATCTTTGCAATCGAACTTTCTAAATTTGATTTGTACTTTGTTGGTATCTCTATCCCGTGAATGAGACGACGAAATGTACTCATAACAACCTGCCCATATTCACCAAAGGTATGGTTATGGGCGTGTGTGTGATTCGACACCCACGTTCTCATTCTTACATCGATATGGACACGCACAGTTGTATCCACACCATACCTACATCAGCAATTCTACTCCGACATAACAACGCGCACCCGATGCTAGCTATTATAGAATCGATCGAGGATCTTATGATGATCATTCCGACGCC